GGGGGAAACGTGCATGAAGATGAAATGCTGCATAATGGGGGTGGTAAAATAAGTGACTTCTTGGCTAATTTTCTAAAATCCACAACTCAAACCACGCTGAAAGCACGTCCCAGGCCCAGATTTCTATTGATGAAGGATGCAGCCATCTGTTTGTTTGTCTTCTCTGCATTTCTTGCTAACTCCTATTCCTCGTTTTAAGAAAATCCACGCTCACATGTCATGTTTGATGCATCTGACAAGGTCAGAGCCATCACATCCCATCAAGCGCACGCTGATACAGCCTTGCGAGGGGAAGCCAAGAAAAGATGTACAAAAAGAGATTTATTTTCAGGTTTTTGTTTTAAGGCATCCCTTTGCCTTCTACTTCCTGACTCCCCTTCCAGCTCTGGTACTCAGAGGGGCAGCCAGAAAGCTGCACCTGGTCTGAGCCCAGCATCTGAGCACTGCACGGGGTAATGTCTTCACAGTTACAACAGCAGGTGAAGCTGCAGCAGATAAAAATATTCCCTTGTAAAGGTTTAGAATTGAAAAATTCAGGCACAGACCCTCAAAGGTGACTGGATACCTCTGAAGGATTAAGCTCAGCTGACTGGGCAGGGAACCTGGGAAAATTACAGTGGAGAACTTGAACTGCAAGGCATAGACTTGAACCTGCCTTCATCTGGTATTAAATCCTGTTCCCTGGCTTATCTCTGGCTTATCTTATAGCATGGAATAATCCTTGAGTGGGCAGCAACTGGCTCTTGCCAGGAGAGGGAGAAAATGCCTCCTGGGTGAAGGAGAAACAAGCCAAGACGGTTGGGACCTGGTGGTTCAGACCCAGGTGAGAAGAACCCATCCTCAGCCCTTCTGGCTATCAGCTTGTTTCTCTAAGAAGCCAGGGTGTCAGTAAATACAACCTCCTTGTGCCAAGCCTGTGAGCACTTCGTTGGGCTCTGCAGTGTTCAGTGAATGCCTATCTGCAGCTGGGGGACACGTCTGCGACCGACCACTCAAAGCTTAGAAACCTTTAAAGTTTCATTCTGCAAGCATTTGTGCCTGATGAGCATGGGAGCTACCCTTGGCCGTAGAAGTGACTCGTGTCATTATCTGTCGGGTGGTGCCTACACAAGCAGTTACTTGGGAAAAGATTTTACATTTTTGATTCACGCACTACCTCAATCTGAATTAACCTTCAAGCGTGGAGAAGCTCTGGGAAGCAAAGATAATTTCAAACAGCAAATCCCAGAGTTAAAAACCAACCCTCCCCCTTGCCTCCCAAATCAGATCATTTAAATCGACGTGTTATTTTGAGAAGTTCAAGATGTGCAGAGAACTCAGCTCTCAGCTCCAGCGCTCACTATGGATCACTTGCTCATAGTGATCCATAGTGAGCTCAGAAAACCACCTCAGCTCCAGCACTCAATTGCTACCTCGGGGAGGTATTTTAACCCCAGCAGGCTCAGTGCACCGCATCACACGTGCTGTGTGAAGGCATTGCTCAGGTTCTGCTCACCCCCAGCAGAGCAACAGAAGCTTGGCGCAGGCAGAAGCGAGGACTGAGCTCCTCGGCCAAGGTCAGTGCCCACCTCTGGGAGCTCAGCACACCAGGAAAACCCAGTCCGTGGTCGAGGCTGCTCAGGTTCCTACTGGGAGCCAGCGAGGCCCAGCTCTGCACAGGTAGGAGAGATGTGGGGGCAAGGGGAGGGGATGTCTCCTGTCCTGGGGAATTCAGTGCTGGCCAGCAGCAGGACCTACGTTTTGCAGAGTGCTCGTGGTGCTTGCAGCCACGAAATAACTCCTTAATAATAACCATCCATCAAAACCACTTTCAACGAGCTCTGCTTCCGTGACAGCTTCACTGCCAAGAACACTGGCTTTTCCAGCTCAACACTCACCCAGCCCTGTTGTGAGAGCGGTCACAGAGCAAAGCAAACCACATGCTTCGTTTTATCTCCTGGGAATCATCTGAGGGTGCTTTCAGGTATTTGGGTTTCTTCTCCCTCCCCATAGGATGCAGTCTCCACCTGCACGGCTCCGCTGGCAAGGCGACTGCATTCAAAAATTTCCTCTGCACATGTTTGCCAAAGTAAAAATAAATTAAGGCCGTGTGCGTGGACACCTCAGAACCCACACTGCAGAAATCACGTAATCTAATTGCCTGCAGAAGAATACGAATTTTTTAAAAGGGAACAACCCACGAGGGGCAAAGCAGGTCAGCGCTGGGCATGAAGCGCCTGCCCACGCTGGCTGAAATGCGAGTGCTGCAAAGTGCTCGCTGCAAGCAACGGGCCCAGCAGCTGAGAACCCGCTCTCAAGGCTTCACACGCTATCGCTGCTCCCAAAGGGCTGAAGTTGTCTTCTTGTGGCTCACAGCACCTGCAGAGCCTCCTGGAAGAGCAACAACTTTACAGTCACTCGAGGTACATCAGTTCCTCAAGCTGATTCTTTTCCCTGACCGAATTATCTCAGGCACAGAGGGTAACTCAGTCCCACAGTTAGGGTTTTGTAGCCTCGTGCACAGCCCCTAGGAGTGCAGCCCCCATGTCCTGCAGGCACCAGCCAGGGCAGCCCCATGCCTGCCCCTCAGCCACGTCTCCTGCGCCTGGGACCAGCACCTGCGAGTCCCCACCGACCCACCCCATCTCTTCTAAATTAAGCAACCTGTTACATCGCTTCCTTCCTTGGCCCACGGGGTGCTAAGAAGGTCACTGCCAGATCATAGCTTAAAGCGTGACCGAGCCCCGTCCTAATCCAGGGAGGACAGGAACTGCCAGAGCTGATAAATGACCTGAGCGAGTGATTACAGTCTGGATTTATTTGTGATTAGACACTGTGATGGCCCCCTCTGACGCTGTCTTCTGAGACGACAGACAGAAACCTTCATCCACACAGTTTTCACTGAGCTACTGAAACCCTTATAGGATGCTCTGGGTCCTCTCGCTATGGGACACTTCCAAACCTCTCTGGGTCAGCCCTGAAACAGGTGTTTCTGTGATCTTCCCAGCATTGCTGAAATAACAGGCATTTTCATCAGCCCTCCCCATTCTCCATAGTTACTCTCAATGCTCTCCTTGAGTTGCCTGAATAACAGATATTTTCACAGCTTTTTGTATGTCCCCCAAGAAATAGGCAGTTTCACAGCTCCCTCTGGAATCAACCTTTATTCTGTGAGCTGCCCATAATTGCAACAAATAATCAGCCAGCAGCATTCAAGGGTTCACAAGCCCTGGGAAAGCACAGGGCTCGCCAATTGATGAAGGTGCTGCAGCTCAAGCCCTGCAGCCTCTGTACGCAGGATAAAAGAGACTTTCTTCTGCTTAGGGACAGCACAGCTGCACCTAGCTACAATTAATACCCTGTAGGAAAAGAAGGCTCCGTAGTTGAAAACAATATTTAATATGCCAATGACCAAAACAAAAGTTTGAAAAACTTCTGGCAGAACTCTTCTTAAAATGCCCTGAATGTTAAAAAATGATGTATTTCTGAAGAGCCTGGAGTTGGACTTAACCCATGTGGGTCTCTTCCCACTCGGGATGTTCTGTGATTCTATCATTTTCCCATGCTGCTGAATCACATAACTTAATTTGCTGAGTTAAATCTTGGTCTCTGGAATTAGGGTATAGTACTCCTCTTGGTCATGAAGAAGGAGACTTTCAGTCCACTTGTTTGCTTAACATGTCCACGTCAGAATTCGTTAGGCGACAAGATGTTTTCATGACTACTAAAGGGAGGTATATTAAGCTAGAAAGAGAAAGAGGTTTCAGCCAAATTGTAAACAAAGCCAAATTCCCCTTCTCTTTCAACATCCTGCTTTTGGTTTGAAAGCATTCAGGTGAATCAGGGGTATCTTGTCCTCTGTTATCTTGGAGTGTCATGTATCAGATTTCCAAATATGATTAAAAGTGTAAACCTGAGCGTGGTATCCCTCGGTGTCCACCAAGCAACAGCAGAGCTCTTACCCATATGGCAAGAGGTTCCACCTGGTAACACTTATTTTTTCTCTCTCCTACGTAAGTTCCCAAGGAAAAACTCAACCATGCTACCAATTAAAACAGATGTGTTACACCGTGGCTACAAGCCCAGCAGAACTGGAAATGGAGGAGCTGCTTTTATCTGCCTGGGAACTGGAGGGGAAAGTCCATTGCTGAAAACATTTCACTACCTCATGCTCGTACCATGCACTGTGCATCGTACAATTGCTTCCCATAAGTCCTGAAATCTTCATTCAGTCTCTCCTGAAGCAAACTCCAGGTTTTTATTCAGCTGGAGCCCTTTTACTGTGTGCTCAGTGAAACAGAACTCCCACAAACACAGCAAGAGATCTCCCAGCTCAGGACTACACTGACTTCGGATGCTCGACAAGCACAGTGAGTTTCTAATCGCACCAGCGCTCCCTGGAGCAGCATTCCCAATGCTTAGGGCACAGCATCACTGATCCCCAGACCCTCTTCCATCCCTCCACAAAACCTCTTCTTCCACTGAGGTGCTTTCAGCCCTGGCCTGAAGCCTGTGTCCTGGCTGCCCTTGGACCAGAGCTGTCCGAGTGCCACCTGAGTGCCTTCCCCACGCCCCCCATGCGCCCATCACAGCCGCGCTCTTCTGCCTTACCCTGGAAACACCACAGATTGGGGCTTGGCTTTCATCTTCCCAAGCCCTGACACGGCAGAATCAGGAATTAAAAGGTGCTGAACCCCACCACATCCGAACCATCACTACCTGCACATCCAGGCGTGATGAAGGCACTCTCACCTCTAGTGCCAGCAGCACAGGTCCTCACCGCAGCCATCAGCCTCCGACCCCCTGAATGCCTGCACCAGGCCAGCATGAGTGTGCACCCAGCAGGCTCAAAAGGAAAGCCTTCAGCCTGACTGCAGAGCAAAACCAGCCAGAATATGAAGCCGGGTGTTCTTACAGGCTCATGGTGAGCCTCTCCTTGCAGAGCAGCTGCAGGAATTAAGGGCAGGGCGCTCCCGTACCGCTCGCCACCTCCGCGTGTAACGCAGGACGCAGCTACTCACCGGGAATGGTGTGGGCACTTGTGTTTGTTAGTCCTTCCCGTCACCAGGTCCGGGAGCAGGCGCAGCACCCCTCTATGGTCTCAGCTTCGCCCTACAAGAAGCAGGACACACAGTTTTCTACCAGTTGTGGCAAGCAGATAATCCAGTACTTTCTAATCCATGGCAGAGGAGGGTATGGCGCATCGGAAAGATAAGCCTCTGGCTGTTTGTCTGCACGGATCAGACCCAAGACCTTCGGACTTAAGGCTCTGAGCTGCTTAGCAAGGGGCTCAAAGCCGGAGACAGAGGCAGTTGTGTTTGCAGGGCTGAATACTTGGGATAGCTTGCTTCAGATTGGCTCAGGCTCGGGAAATCCCACAAAACCTGCTACATCGTGTTAGTGCTTGCAGAGAATGAGGTACCCGACGGACAGAGGATGGGAATTTTCTGTCATGATGGCTGGGATTTGTTAAGGAAAAAGAGAGTTTCTTCAAAATTAAATATTTCACAGTAAAGCAAGCATTTTGTTCATTGAACTGAAATGCTATCCTTTAAGCCAGTTCCTCTGGGTTCTGTTTGAACTGCCAGGACACCCTCCAGGACTGCAGCTAGGGTGCCTTCCCTTGCCTCCCACAGGCTGGGACACCCGGTTGGACTGTGCAACGAGCTGCTTTGTCACCTCGAGAAGCCTGGGAGGCAGAAACTACCTCAGGGAGTTACAGTTCAGAAGTGGGAGCTACAGGATTATCCACGGCATTTGTTATATTGGGCAGCACCAAGTGCCTGCTTAGCACGCTGCTGGTGCAGCACCATCGGCACTGCCAGCCCAGCAAGTGGCTCTGCGGGCTAGGAAGGCTGTGGCCAAGACAGCAGAGATCACTGCTCATCCCCAAAGTGGACTGACTGCTTTTTCAGTGGTGGGATCCAGATTCCACCAAAACACCCCTCCTCTGCAACCAGCTGAGGCCTCAGCCCCGCAAGTCCTGGAAGGAGGACCCAGGAGCTGTGGTCAAACAGCTGGGGTGCAGCGAGACGTCCCCGTGCTCTCTGGCCCCCAGGCAGCGGCCGCATCTCTGAGTTCACAGCCCCAACAGTCCCAAGTGTTCAGGAACTGGATCCAGTCCCCATACTCCGAGTCTTAAACCATTAACGAGTCCATTAATTGGAACCAATTCCTTCAAATCAGCCTGGGCTAGCTGACAACGTACAAACAAGCAACAGAGCAAGGTGAGGTTCCTGCGCCTCCTGCTCCACCCTCCTGAAGTCAGTGATGATTCCCAGCAATGTCTCCTGAATGAGCACCCAGGGCTCTCACGGATGGAGCAGTACTTTTACACCCTGCTCTGTGAAATACTTGGCACCCGGGCTGCCTGCTCTGAGGGGAGGAGCAGGCAGGGATCCGCCAGCCGTGGCTAACAGCAGGGTGAGCGGTGAGTGCAGCCAGCTGCCACCAGCCACGGCCCCCCGTAATTAGAGGCTCACTTCAGCCTCAGATGTGCCACAGCACTGCAGAAGGTCAAACCGGAGTGAAGCTTTCAATTAAAACAGAAAAAGTACTAAGGAGACAGAGAAATGAACCGCTGGGCTGAAACCACCACCGAGAACAATTCAGCGCACTGATCAGCGGCTTTCACAGCCGAAGTCTCAGCGCTCTGGCAGTGCTGAAGGGACAACCCCTTCTGCATGAAGAAACCACCACAGTGACACAGGCTAAAACCAGGTGGCCATGGGGCCACTTTTGCTGTCAACCAAGAACCCAATAAAGAGTTAACTTGACAATGCTGTTTCCTCAGTTCCCCTCTGTTTCAATGGGCCCTTCATCCAGGTTTAGTGGACCTCTCAAGAGGTTTGGTTGCATCTCTCAGTACTCAGTGAGTTCAGAGATACCATGAGAATGGGCATTCGTGCAAGAGAGATGTAGAAGAAGGGAATGAATAAGAGAAATTTGGAGATAAACTGGGTGGGAGCAGAGCCCTGAACATCAAAACTCTCAGGATGGGGATGTGGCAAACAGAGAATTACAGGAGCAAATCCCAGTAAGGAAGAAGGAGCAGATTTTTTACCAGACATCTGGATGAACTGCTAAACGCCTTCCCCCATCCTCCTCCCAAACTCACCCAGGTCCCTTGGCTTAAGCAAACGAGCTTTATCTTGCTCCTAAAATCTTCCACTTTTGATAAGAAAAACCCAAGTGTTTTTTCAGTGGGAGCTGGAGGGAGGAATGAGGAGCAGAGGGACACTGTGCAAAGAGCATCAGAAGCACTTAGTTGTGGTATTGGCACCATGCGCTGGTGTTGCTGTGAGACCAAGGGCCAAATTACTCATCTCTGTGCTCCTTAGGATGTGAAGTTTGACTCAGATGAGCTCTACGACATTCACCTCAGATGGAAGGTGTACAGGAGGTGGCGCAGAAGAATCTCACCACTAGCAAGCTCATAGGGGCTAAGGAAAGGAAGTCCCCTTCTGTTGCTCTGTAACCCCTCGTTTCTCAATGCACAGCTACTTTGAAGACCAAATTGTCCTGCTCTTATTCTAAGACCATCTTTACTGCATGAGACCGAATGAACTCGGCAGGAGGAGCAGCAGGCTCCAGCCTTTGCAATGCTGGAGTCCACCCGTGCAGTGCAGCGCAGCATCCTGTGATTTTTCTAGAATCACTTCAACCCATGATGGAAAAGGAGGAAGGAGGTAAATACCCTGCCAACATACAACAACATCTTTCAAACTAAGTAACTGCACCAAAATGTGCTGTTTTATTTTCACTCTGGGCTCCCAAAGCATTTCCCTTCTCTCCCTGAATGATAACGGGCATAAAAATTAAATATAAATTCTCCAACAAAAAGCGAAACACACTGAAGGGTAATAAATCACCACTACTGGATGGCATTCAGAGGAAGTTGGGGGAAGGAATAAAGGATGAAATAGCATAGATACTGACTAAGATATATCATAGACCCTTACAAAACCAAGAACTCATCTTCAGGGCAGGGGACTCACCACAGTGGGCTGAATTTTGATAAAGAAGCAAAGGGAAGTCGCAGAGAGAAGCGGTGGGGCTGGAACACAGCGCAGCCCCAGAGGGCATGGAGAACCTCACCCCAGCACCCCGATCGCATCCCCACTTCATGCTGGGATGAAGTCCGGAGGGACGCAAAGACCACGTGCCAAACATGACCCACTGGCACCAGTGGGATCAACTGGGATCTCCGGAGACAGCGAGGAAGGTCCAGCCCCACGCTGAAGTGGGGCTGCTGGCAGCTCTGAGCAGCAGCTGTCACAGGCTGAATGCTCTCACCTGATGACCTGAAATTCCTACATCTGCATTTCCAATAACCTGAAACACTCCCTGGGGCATCACAGAGAAGCACAATATTCTGGAAACATTATATATCAGCACTGATCTTCGTCTTACAAACAAGATCACCTTTAGTTTTGCAGGCACCTCCTACTTCATTAAACTCAAAGATCTTGCTCTCCAGGGGTTTCCTCCTCAACTGGGGCAGGAAATGAAAAGACAGAAAATGCAATTTAATTGGGGATGAAGCTTCATCTTTACGCTGCCTATCATCATTATGTGTCATTTAAAAACAAGCACGGAGCAGGTGTGAAATGGCACCGGCTCTGGATGCACATAAAAAAGGTTGACACCAACAGCACGAATCAGATGGTGTGACCTGAAAACTCCTTTTCCCTTTTCCTTTTTTATTTTCCTCAGATAAAAATCCTTTTGATATGGGATAGATGAAATGACAACTTTGTGAAGCCAAGTGGTTTGAAAAGAAGAGAAGCCAACTTCAGGACTGTTACCCTTGCCAAAACCTCGTGGTGCAGGGCTAGCAGCAGCGCAGAGGGCAGGTGAGCGGAGGTACCCCTGGCACAGCCTTCACCTCACACAGAGGTGCTAACACTGAAACTGCTGCTCCTGCTTCTCCCTCGCCAGGCATCACTTTGCTTCCCCACGCCCTGATGAAGTGTCTGACTGGCTTTGATGCACCCCCTTCTCCTCGCAGGTTACACCGCAGCACACAGCCGCAGAGGGGACCCCGGGATTTGGAAGCTGCCCTGGGAATCGAGTCGGGTGGGAGAGGGCTCTGCTTTCCCTCAGGTTGCCCAAACCCTTCCTTCACACTCCAGGAGTAGGGAAAAACGTGATGAAACGCTCTTGCCTAGTCACTACCGAGGATACAAGTCAACCTTGTGCAGAGAGCAGAAGCAAGGAGAGCTCAGGGGACAGGTGGTGCTGCTCACCGGGGGTTCTGCTAACACAGGGGAAGGAGACCTGGAGTTCATCTCTTGTACTGACAGAGTCTGGGGGTTTAGGGCAGCTTGTTTGGCTCAAGCCTTCGCAGAACAGCCTCCACCACTGAGGCTTTCAGTCTGAGGATGCCCAAAGTCAGACGGGCTTGGACCTGCCTGTGCCCAGGCTCTGCTCTGCCATAAACGATGGTGCTTGTGGCACCCAGCTGCCTGTCAGGGTACTTCCAATACCTGCTGGTGAAAAGGTTCCAACCCAAGTGCTAAGAGAGACAGGCAGAAAATGTGGATGAGCTCAGCCACTTAACCTCACAACCACAGCAGCCTGGTTCAGCTCGGAGCTGGGTTTCCAGGCTCCCGGGTTGCTGGCTGGGTTGGTTTTACACGACGGCTGTCTGCTGAAAAAGGAACGACTGAAATGTAAGATCTCTCAAAGGCCTTTGTGTCGTTCTGGATGGCATCGGTAACACTCTGGAACTAAATACTGACTGTTTTTCTAACAAGTGCCATTTCTGTATCTCTGGCCACCGGAGATAAAATAGGGGTGAACTATGTTAACTAATGCGCTCTAATTAGTAGCTGCCCCTCATTTTCGAAGTCCTGCCCCACATTCTGATGCAAATTCACTGCCTTTCATTTTAAGCAATACACCGGTGTGGTTTTAGTCTTCCAGTGATCCTTTAATGTCATATCTTCTCCCCAGTGAATCAATATTCAGATCCCCTAATTGGAACTTATCTGCTCACCCAGCCTTGGGCTAGGTTTGCTCAGCGGCTGAGCGTATCGGGCGCTCTCAGTGACTGCATCGGCAGCGCCCAGCTTTGCACCATGGCTGCTCTGCAGGAAAGCGAGGGGAGA